CTGAGAATCCAAATTGTGAGTTGTGGATCCTGATTATCTTCCTGAGTCTCTTGTCCAGAATATCCCGGTCTCATCTAACCACAAAATTCTTTCCTATATCTTACTGGATCACTCTCATGCTGTCTTGCAACCTCCAGATGGGCTTTAAGATGGTTCTTTATGAGTGATGACTTCAGTCTTGCCACTGCAGGCCAGTGTTATACAGGACTCTTGAAATAGTTGACTGATGCACCTTTACTCTACTCTCAGCCACTGAACTCTGTAGGTATTTCCAAGCGAGTATTGGCCTCTCAGAGGCTTCTCTCACAACTCGCCGTCTTGTTTGTATGCAGTTTGAGTTTTGAGGAACGTCCTTTTCTAGGCAGCGTCTGGGTGGTGCGATACATCTTCCACGTCTTGAATTTTGAACCTACAGTGCTCATTTGGACATCCAAACACTTTTTATAGCTTTTTATCCTTTTCACAAGCTATGCATTTGTAGCACTTTATCTCTAACTTCCTTGGAATGCTCTTTAGTCTTCATCTTTGTACCTTTCTTTCAAATTCACAGCTTGACCAATGATCCCTGAACAAACTAAGGTGTTATCCAGTAAATCTATCAGAGTCACTGCAATGATGAATATGCAGAGGTCAATGGTAAGGGAATTATAATCTCGTTAGTGCAATTTATTTTACCTTTGTAAACTTAAAGCTACAAGAGCACAGGGACCTGAATACTTCTGCAGGTATCATATTTCAGTCTTTGACTTCTTAAGTTACCCACTGACAAATAACTAATTTTTGTCTTTAAACAATTTCTGTTTGAGCATGCAAGTTTGCAAAAATACTAATATGAATACTGATTCGAAAAAGATATGTATCATTCTTAATCTAGCAACATTTGAAAACCTTTAATGGGGTCTGAATACTTTTGCAAGGCACTGTATAGGATCTTTTAGCATGAAAATATATGATTAGTCAGAGTAGAAAATTAAAAGTTCTTGCACAATCCACACAGTCAGGCATTCAGAATCCATAAATCCAAAGATTCACTATGTATAAAGTTTACTTACTGTATAAAGTATATTTATAAATTTCACAATTCACTTATATGATTACAAAAGTTACATGAACATCTTTTGCATGCAAACAAAACTTTAAATATTAAAGATAAAATAACATACTGTAAGAATCCAATTACACTGAACAACTACACTAAACTTCGTCAAGTCACCGTTTTAGAAGTGGTCTCTTCTTGTTTATTGGCCAGTAAGCATTTTAAAGGACAATAGCAAAACAGACTGTGCTGATAAACCCGGAAGATTCAACTATCTGCTTATGGTTCTAACAAGACTCTGAAGAACTACCAGCAGACAGGCAGTGCTGGGAATCTTGTTATAAATAATGTAAGACACTCTAGGTGTCTTTAGAGGACACATTACAGACAAGCCTATCTCATTGGTTCTTTCAAACCGTAGAGCTGTTCTTCAGATAACATCATGTTCGGCACAGCTTCCAACATGACAAAGCACACGCCTATGTAGCTGGAGTACACTAATGGTACCTGGAGTATCAGAACATCTTTATCCTTCCCTAGTCAGCCTTGCCATCCGTGATGGCAGTGACTAAGAGCGCATGTTGACTACAATGTCATCCACTGCTTTCTTAGATAACAAGAGGCTCCTCTGTCTAAGCGTGAAACTAAAGTAAGGTAGGCTTTAATGCATATCCTGTACCTCTATCCACAAAGACATATCTGATAATCAGATGATACACTGCCCCAGGCATTGTAACTCATTTTTGTTCTGGAAATAACCCATCGACCCAATAAAGTAAGACAGAAATGTGGAAATCCAGGAATACTTACAGATTTTTTATATCAACAGCACCTCTGAATGCTTTCCTTGGAATACCCTGGATCTGATTTTCACTGAGATCTCTGGAAAAGAAGAGTACCATTCATTAGTCCATTAAGTAAATGAGGAGACCCTAAATGATACATAAATTGCCATCCAAACCTTAGAAAAACCTTTTTCTCTGCACAACACCCGAATAATAAGGTAATACAAAAGTATCACTGCATACACTGATATTAATTAAAATTTTTGTGATATTATTTAAAAAATAAGAGTGAATAATTATTTTTTTAATAAGATTACAACTAAAAATACTACAAAACACTCTTTTTGCACAATCACACATATTTGTGTCACATGAATTACCTTTGGTGAATGAAGTAAATATTTAAAACAGTGGTAGCATAGAATGTTTGAGTACTTAATGATGAATGTGCAAAGGGAGACAGAACCTGTTTGCTATAATTTAATTTTCAATGCACTTTAAGCAATCTTGAAAATAGAGTATGACTGCATTGGCCCTGACAATAAATCTTGCACTTCAAAAATGAAATAAGGGCTATCACTTGTTGTTATAGCAACCTGATTTAAGGTTAGAACATTGCATACTCAAGATAGTTATCAGAAGTCAAATATAAAAAATGAAAAGTACCGGTAAATGTAGGAGGCTTCTGTAATTCATAAAACTTAGCAATTTACTACCTACTGTAAGTAGATAATATTATCACATCAGTGAAGTATGATCTTCCAAATCTAATACAGAAAAGGATACGTGAGAACATTCTAAGTATCACAATGGATATGATTTAACAATCTTTTGCAAAAAGAAGAAAATTAAGTTTACAACCTTAAAAAATATCAAGGAAAAATGTAAATACAAATACAAGTTGCTGTTTCCTAGCTATTAGCTTAAAATTCCTGATTTAAATTTGTTATTGACCTCATGACAGAAACAATTTCAAATGATTGTCAATGATTTAAAATATCTGAGACAGCTGATGAAATGCAGTATCATAAACTGTCCTGTCTTAAAGCAAGTTGTAAACCATGCTATATCATGTAACGTTCAAACAATGTAAAATATACATACCGGATTCTCAAATAAAATATATTTTACTGCAATTAACCGGATAGCTACAGTAGGTAGCTTTGTGTAAGATTTCTATTAAATTCTTCTATTAGGTGCCAAAAATTACAAAGGATTTGCCACACAGTGGGAGAGAGGCAGGGGTGAACATTTAGCCTCAGTTTAGTAAGGTTCAGTCTGAAAGAAACCTACAGCATTGTTTCAGTGATGGACAGATCCGATGCAGTGGCACCAGTCTAATCTCATCTACAGACACAGAACTATTTCAGCCTTTGTCAAACAAGCAATCACTTTAAGAGTTGATTGACCTATTAGTCAGTCTCTTTCTGCAAGCAAATAATAAGCAGCTAATTCTCAGTAGCAAGATTTAGCCCTGAGACATCCAGGAAATCAGGCTTTGTGGACTTCATATACAAGCTACAGTACATAACATACTGTACACAATGAAAAAAAACATCAAAATGTTGTGATATTTAAAAAAATAATAATCATGAAAAGTAAAATAAAGTTTCATCTTCCATCCTGTGTTCTTACAACAACACAGAACTGGAAGGAATATATAAAAATATAATAAACCAGGGTGAATAATTAATAGTGGAAGTAATTCTATTTTGAGGTGAAAATGTACAAGTTTAATTAATGAAAAATCTAGCAGCCCATACTGTACATGAGGTTTGGTAGTCAATAAATAAGACTAAAATGCTTGTCTTGTTAATTGACCTTATCTCATACAGCTCTTCTAAATTTATGTGAACAAAATAAAAGCAAAGGTGGGAAAAATAACTTCAGGAATGAATTTGAATACAGAATAAATCTAATATTAAATCACTGGGTGTCATGATTCTGAAACTACACCTGACCTATAAATACAAAAGAGCTCAATATGTATAGGGATAAATATACGTTTTCAGGTTTTCATTTTTTATTCAAATATTTACAACATCACTGATGAAATACACATGCCAAATTTAGAGCATCGTTATAGAAGCATTTTCTTAATTGGAAAGTGGCAGACTTGAAGCACTGGAGTTTTGACAGGAGCAGTAAGCAATTTAGTTGTGACACTGTCTTCTTCAATTATTAATTTTGATCTCTAAGCATATTAAACACCATTAGCTGCAATTAAAAGAAAATGTAGGATTGATTGTTTTGAAAAAAAAATCTAATTCATTCTGCTTTACTTAGGAATGTGAAAAAAATCAATGTCCTTGAACTTGAGCTGACTTTAAGGGGCACAATTTCTGTCTTCAGCTAGGTACTACTTAAAAAAAACAACAACCGGTGATCTAACCAAAGAATAAACACTTTAATTAAAACATAGCTTAAGCAGTAAGAGATAAGACATTCTTTTTGTACTAGAATTGATTGGGTGAAAATCAGACATCTCACAATAATAAAATGTGATAAAACCATGACAGGAACACTGAAATTAAGCTACAGAACGTGATCCAAACAATACACTCTTACCTTTACCATGTTCCAATTGTATTGTAATTACTATTTAAACTATAATTTTGCACTAAATTATCATCTGTTTTGTTAATGCTGTTTTGAAAATATATAGAAGTTGGTTACAACTTTTGCGCAAGTCCTTAATTATTTTTCATAACTCAAGAAAAAAGTACTAGGGCCACAACATAATTATGGAAGCCCGTTTCCCCCAGTTAGTAAAAAAAAAACGCACTATGGTATCTCAGAATTGCAATTTAGTAACTCAGAATTGCGACTTAGTATCTAAGAATTGCGACTTAGTAACTCAGAATTCCGACATACAGTAGTAACTAGAATTGTGACTTAATATCTCAGAATTGCGACTTAAAAACTCAGAATTACGACTTTATCTCTCGTAGTTGCAAGTTCTTTCAACCAGATTCTAAAGGCAATATCAGAAGCACATTTGCATCAGGGTGTTCTGGACCCTGTGCAGTTTCTGAGAAAGAAGTATGACATTCAGATATTTACCTTTTACTTTTTTCAGAAGCCTTTGTGCTTTCCATTTATCCCTCTAAATATGTGACAAAAACAATATTATTTAAATAGATCTAGTTGGTGAAATTACAAATTTGGTTTCTGGGATGTGCTACTGTACTTTGATCTGACTCTCAATGATTTGTTTCCTTTCTTACTGAAAAGGTCATCAGAACAGTATTCAAAAGGTTTATGTTCCAAACATTGTGAAACACTGTCATTGAACATTTTAAAATATTTTTTGATGTTTTCATATTCAGCATATATGAAAATGCTATGTGTGCTTTTACTTTAATTTCTTCCCCAAATCCATTTTATTTCTTAATTTTGTGTGGACAGTACATTTCACATTATAAAGACAGATACATTTAATGTACACTACAACATGGCAATACCAGTAAATCAAGTAAATCATGCCAACAAAGAATAGAAGCAAAATACAAATTGTAGAAATATCACCAGTCATATAAATGAGAACATCATGTCATTACATGCATAGTTTTCACAATATACTTTTCCATATTGTGTTTTCTATTTTGATGTTGAAAGCAAACCAGCCAGACTACCAATTAAATTGTCATTTACCTATTATGCTTGACATTATGTTGTCACCAGTTTCATCCATATGCAGATAGAAGCAACACACTACACTGGAGATCTTTGGCAATACTGTACATTGTAAACATGTGAAAAATCAAAAGTGAAGAAAGAGCAACAGTAACAAAAACGCTCAACTGATGTAATTGATGTATTTCAATACCTTAAACACATTTTTTTCTAAGGTAGAATATATGCTCTTGTTTAAGGATTATTTTGTGTACGTTATCATCATTCTGACTGTTGTGTGGCAATAGTATACAAGTAGGCTTTGGATTCATTCAACATTCTTTCTCTGACACCATATTTTAAAGTGTCATTCTCAGTCACATACTGTACTTACCACACACCTGGTTACCACACACCATGGCAATCTCAAGGTGCTGCTGTACCAGTCATTAATTTTAATTATGACTTTAATTTTTTATCGGATTTAGTTAACATCCAAAGAGCACTGAGTTCAGATGGTCCTCATCCGGTTTCTCTTTCCTTTTCTATTTTTGGATGAAAAACTTAGATTTCACCTCACACTTGCTCATGCATTCCATATATAAATCATTACGTTTCCCATTTAACATCTTTCATTTCTCCGAATGCTAGACTAATTAAAAAAAATCATTGAAAGGTCTGCTGTGCATAAGTAGTTTACACATGAGGAAGTGGGTACTACACGCACTATTCATGAACAGGACTTGAAAACAGAAGACCACCATCAAATGGCATTGACAAAAAAGACAGAATAAGCTGTCTAAGGAAAAAAAACAATCCAGAAAATAAAATGGCATACAGACTTTTAGTCTATTGTCTACAAAGGAAGTCTATGTTCTCAGCTTTATATTGAATGGTATTGAAGGCAAGTTGTTGCATGTTTCAAATGAGGACAGAAGGGGCCTGATGGCAGGGGAGATAGGAGCACAGCTGTGGACTTTGCACTCTTAACCTGTGAACCACAGTTGGTTTTATCGAAACAATCCTCTTGCAGAGTCAAATAGGATGTCTCTGTAGGGGTGCTCAGCCATTACGTTTCATTAAAAAGGAAAAAAAATGATCAAGGCCTTGAGTCTGTGATGGCACAATGACATTAGTGGCTAAATAAATAGAAAAGCTTTTCATGAATAGATTCAGATTGTTGATGCATAATCTATTTGAAGACTCTCTGTGATACAGTGTAAATGAAAAAAGATTTTATTTGTTAGCACTTCAATGACCACAGTTTTTACAGACCTTGTACATTTTTTGCCTGTATTCTTCCTCACGAACACACACAATGCTTTAAAAATGTTGTTTTTTGTATATAAAATGATTTAGATAAGATGGCTCTTTTGTTAAACACACCCTATTTTATCTTGCCAAATTTAATTTCCTGTTAAAGAAGATCACACAAGACTTCTTGGCTTATATCCACCTATAAGTGGATATCACTGTCTCAGG